AAACACTCACAAAGAAACTCGACACGGAGGAACATAAAAACTGCTGACAGCTAGCTTTTCGGAAGTGTTATTGCAGAGCAACACGAACAGCATACAGAAGTATAAATGCATGTCTACATGCCAGTGGCGTTGCGAGGGGGGATTTTGGTGGCTTAAGCCCCTGATGTAATGTCAAAGCCCCTGATCTTTTGGAATATGTTGCACTTAAATAAAAATAGGTTGTATAACATTTATTTTGTTATCGAAGTCCTTAAAATTAGCACATACATCACGCGCTCCACTTAACGCAGCGTTTGTGTCATGTAATTAGTCAGCCATTCAGCAGTACCTGTTTCTACCGGCAGGTGGGAGTGGCACTGTTGTCACATGGTGTTGAAAAAATCCCGTCATCATTATTCACTCATTATTTTAAGGAGCTGAAGCTGATGAGGTAATAATACAGCTGTTTAGCGCAACTGAATAGTTCTAACTACTGATAAAGCTTTATATTTGTTTTCACATTATAAAATGTGTGTAGTTTTGGTGAAATAAAATAACTAATCCATCAAATGTGCATCATATCAATGTAAATGCATGCGAATTAGTCTGAAAAACGTAAATTGTACTAGTTTTCTACATATGATATAGATATCTAGATATGATATAGCCAGGCACGTCTGTTTCTGTAATAGTTAAATAGCAGTAAGTTCATGCATCTAGCTTATTATTTTATAGCTTCTATTATAACATGCTTTATCAGTTAGCACCGAATTATAAATCGACTTTATTCTAATGAAAATACCTAAGATGGCTGGAATAACACATATAAACCATTGATTGTGGCAGTCGTGTAAATGATTAGTTAAAGCCTTTTTTATGTTTATTCAGATCTTATTTTCATTCATTCAACAGCAATAGCTGGATTTCTTCATCCATGTTAGGGATTTTCCTGGAATGTTCTACTACTTTTGTGAGGCATCTATGGAATTTCTGCTCAAGTATGAATGAAACAGGCATTACATGCATTTAAAGTGCTACAATGCCCACATCAACCTATTTTGAGGAAAACTAAAAAAAATCTCCCTCTAAAGACATTTGAAGTAAACTTTTTTCTATCATATAGATCTTTATTTTTATTTTTTTGTACTATTTTTTTTAGACAATTTTTATTATATCAAAAATAATGGCCTTGTATATCAATATTTTGTGTGGTATAGAATTTAGAAATTCCAGTATCTCGACAAAACTACACTTTAGTTAATCACTCTGTCCAAATGAACATGATTGTAGCTTTGTATCACATTGGATAACAACTCACACCATAAAATAAATCCGATTTTCAGACATGCAGAAAATTACATTTTCAAAAAACAAACAAACTTAAAAGCAAGTCAAGTCAAGTTTTATTTGTCACATACATAGTAATACAAAGTATGACCAGCAGTGAAATGTAGGTCAGGTCCGCTCCAGAGACAGTGCAAGTATAGATAAACAAAAATTAAATAATAAGAAAAAAAATATGTGCAAAAAATTATACAAGGTGATAAGACTAGCAGCAATATGAGGTAGCTTATAGATATGACTACTACAGTGATCAGGAGGAGATAAGAGGCTCAAGAGGTATGAAATTGCTCATAACAGACTAGTAAATGAGAAGTGGGTTAATTTATTAATGTTTTTTTCCTTTTTGGTGTTACAAGTCACAAAGCTTCACAATTTAAAGCTTTTATTGCTAAAAGACTGTCAACTCAAAAACCTTTTATTTACTTTTATTTTACTTTTACTTTTTATTTTACTTTTAAAATCTGATTTAAACCATTTATAATCCTATTATTAAGATTAGAGCAGATCACCTTTTGAAAATGGGAGTATTTTATAACGGTGGCATCGTGGGTCTCTGTGATCACTCGAAGCAGAAGTATAAACCAGCCTTAAGCCGAAGGAAAATTAATGAATAATTTATCCTATTTTTTTGTCAGTCATTTTTAGAACTTTTTCAGCTAAAAAAAATACACAAAAAGTAAATAAAAATCTGTTTTGAATGACAAAAATATGACAGAAATGTACTGATATTACCGTCAGTGTATATGATGTCAGTGCTACAATTATTGGTACAATTGAGATTTTCTTTTTCTCTTAAAATACTACATTTAGTTGTGCCAATAAAGTAAAGCCTAGCACAAAGAACACTAAAAACACAGACCATAAAACAAGTGTACATTTTTTGGATACTGATATCTGAACATAACCTATGCTTATGTAATATAATGAAATGAAATGTATGCTTTCCATTGACGTATGCTTTGTTAATACTATATTTGGATAGAATTGAAAGTTTTATATATTTACTGTAGCAGATTTACAAAATATGTTCATGAAACTTGATATGTTCATGGATCCCTTTAACTTCCCAATCAAGAAAATAATGTTTGGATTGCATTTCTTAACTCCTAATGTTGCTAGTTAACACATTCAATGCATTTGTTTTCAACACATCCCATCATTTCGAAAATGTCAACCTCTACCAAATCGGGAAAAAAAATTGGTGTAAAAACAATTTATATAAAATAAAAAAAAATAAAAATAAAACATTTTTCAGTACTAAATCATCTTTATTTTTTTAAAGTATGCCATAAAATATTTCAGATTCATATTTAACATGTTTTCTTCTTTTTTTTATTGCAATAAAACCTAAATCAAGTGCAATAGTGCAACAGAATTATGTTTAGTTGATTTTTTTTTAAATCAACATTGCTGTGTGTGTGTGTGTGTATGTTTGTGAGCCATTATTTAAACCAGTCATTCTTTAAATGACTTTAACAGGGATTATTTAAAACAGTAAAACCACAGTCAACCTTTTAGTAGAGGGGCAGTCAAAGGGTTATTCATTTTTATTATATAAAAGATTGATTAATAAGTTTGACCCAAACAATGAATTTTTGACAATTTACAGAAATATGACCATGAGAGTGTTTTGTGGTCCAGGGTCACATACTGTATGACTAAAATGAAATACCATTTTAGTCAAAAGACTAAGACTAAAACGTCATCAAAATTTCTAATCTAAATGAACTACTTCTGTTCAGCAAGGTCTAAGGCATCATTTTGCTGGTCGAACAGCAAGATTCATGGTGTGCAACTGGATTTATGTGTTCCCTTATTTGGCAACTGTCAAAAATGTCAGCCCAATCAGCTATATGTCTAAAAACCATGTACAATGGCTCAAACTTAGACCTGTCCTCTTATTCAAGATGACAAGGGCACCGACTTTAACATTGAGCATATGTTGCATTAATAAATGTACACTGGTAAAAAAAGTTTTCTCAGCCCCGTTAACATACTAAATTCTTAGAGGAAACCACATACTACTGTGATTTGTATAAGTCTACATTTATTGTGTTTTAATAAGGGAGGTTGAAAACAGAACAGAAAATATTCAGTTACTTCTAAATTCTGATTTAAAAAAATAAATGTAAATATCTTGATAACATTTTAAGTATTTCATAATGACCCTTTTAACAGTGCACCACAAAACCCCACACGATTGATCCACCATTTTGTGTGCAACAGATCCAGAGCTTCAGCGTGACGGGAGACTCGTTCGCGTTTGCCAGTGATTGCGCAGGGTTCTTCAGCGCGGGCATCTGGATGGGTCTGGTGATTTCTCTGCTCATGCTGCTCATCCTCACCTACGGCCTGCACATGATCATGCAGCTTCGCACCATGGACCGATTTGATGATCCTAAAGGCCCGGCCATTTCAGTGCCTCTGAGTGAGTGATTCAAGACTGAAAATGCTGTCAAAACTGTGTGGATGTTAAAAAAGCATCCAGCCTTTAATGTGGTTGGTAATCAGGAATTTATGGATCAAATGCAAGTATTTGATTGTTATTTAAGAGGGTATAATCAAATGCAAAGTGTTTTTCAGATTTTTGTTGTTGTTGTCTTGTAAAAAAAGATGTGAAAATAAATAATTCCACCACTTTCTATATCATTTGTAAAGTAAAATACTGTGTTTAGTTGATACTAACTTTGCAGAAAAGGTTCTATACATTAACTGAGTGATATGCAATTGATAACATGAAATAACAATGGGCAGTTCATTTACAGCTGAGTTTTTGTCTTACATGCGCATATAATAATGTGTAAATGTGTACATATTGTAAGTGATGTAGATTAATAAACGCTGTTCCTGAATGTCTCTGATGTTAATGAATTGAACCTGACTGTAAAGTTTTACAAACGCATTTCAGTGAACATGCATGCATGTTTATCCCTCTAATGTCTTAGAACTTCTCTTGCGCTGTTCATTTTAGGGCTGTCTTGTTGTCTTCTAAATCTGGTGGTTTATTTCTCATGTGCTGGATTTGTTTATGTTTAAAGATTTGCCAATATTTAATTTCACTAAATGTACAATTTAAGTGCCTAAAGTGAATCAGTCACTGCATGGAAAAATCAAGTGCATAATAATAATAAACATGAGCAATTAAGTTAAATTGTTTTGTTGGTTATTAGACTAATAAAAGTGCCAAAAACGTCCAATATTATGCAATGTTTGAATTCAAGAGATGCCCAAAACTGTGTAAAAAGCTTCAAGTTGAAGAAGTTTATAGTAGATATAAATATGCTAAATGCAATGTGCCTTGTTTGGGTTTTTGCTGTTTGTGCAACTGGATGTAAATGTATACACTATATTTAATAAATGTATGTTTGTGTGTTATAATTGTGTTTGTTTCTTTTTAATATTCACGCACAAAATGTTGATAGAATTATGGTTTCTAACAAATAAACTTGAAATGAATTTCAGAATGGTGTATTGCAACACGTTACAAGATCTAGCTGATTGAGAGTCAAGGAACTTTGTCAAACTAAGACAGTTTGCTGTTTAAAAAAAACGTGGTTGTGAAGCAGCGTCTTGCAAAATCTAACTTCACAACATCCGTTTTAATCACGATCATTTGTAAGACTCTGCTTTTATTTTAACATCATGCTGAAATAAGTGAAGACAAAGACAACCTGAAGTAAAGTCTTGTGGGTTGATTTTAGAGCTTTTAATTTGACCATCAGGCACCCAAAGACAGCTCAAAGAACATTCACAATTTGCAAAAATAGAATCAGAGTTGATTGACAGTATTCCAGCATTTGCAATATGAAAGAGTAGTGAAAATGCAGTATCAGTTTATGATGAACTAAATTTGAGATGATTTGCAACCATTATAATACCCAGAAACCAATAACAGCACAATAATTACAAGTAAAACAAATTACAAATTGGAAGAACCATAATTACACGAGTGACCTAACTGAATTTGATATCGCTACGATATGAATAATGCATCTGAAACCTAATTTTATTTTTCAGCAGCAATATAAAACACTAACCCTTTTCCAGTGCCCATTATTATATTAAAGTGAAAAACTATTTTGGGCCTTGAGTACTTTGGACAATTCTGTAATTATAAATAAACACACAGATAAACCTAATTAATGCAGAAAACTCAATTCTTCATTAGTCTGGAAGCCTGTAATTGAGACTAACACAACAAAATATAAAACATCCTTTTTTTAATCCACAATTTAATCAGGCTTTTTAACATATTTACGTTAACTACAACCCTCAACGAAATCATATCAGTGCATCTTCAGCTGTTCTCGGTATGAAGAATGGACTGTCTTAATAAGTGATCACTGCAAGCTCAGTGTTTAACATCAAATTAAGTTAAAAGTTAGAAAAGAGAAGCAAACACTTTATAAAAGTGAAATCAACCTGACTAATCTGAAGCCATATTTCTTCAAGCGAATGCAGAATTGGGCAAACTTAGTAACTATCAGACATTAGTATGATGTACAAATGAAGCTCTTTAAGATGGAGGAATTTGCGGCGTGAAATCAGTCGGTCTCTTGCAGGATTGTTGAAAGTGCTTGTATAACATATAGGCTTCATTTGTTTTTGTTTTTTCTCCCATGGCAGCAACTTTACCTATAATTAGAGTTCCAGAAACATGACATTAGTCAGTGACATCATTGAATTAAAAGACATCAGTCACATGTCCTGAATTAAACAAGTGTTCTACACTGGATACAGCAAAAACAAACACATTTCTCCATGTCAAAAGAAAGGTCTCCATTATATTGCTGGAGATTTGCCACTTGTGTTATTCTGCATACAGAATTACAGATTTAGTGATATACAAAGAATCTCTGCTTGAAGTATTTTAGATTATTCTGGTTTTTATTTATTGAGTTAAATTGTTGAAGATCATGCAAATGCTTTGATCATCTGTGTTCAATTTTTGAAGTAATTTTTTCTGCATCTTTTAGTAGGATGCATTAGGTTATATGAGAGACCTGCAGGCAAACAAATGGTTCTAAACAGGATTTGCATTGAAAAAGTTTTCAGCTCCTGTACTTTCAAAATAATTTTGCATAAATACACATTGATATATTCGGTTGTTTGTTTATTACAAAATCCTCCTAAGCAAGGTTCAGATTCTGTGTGGCCTTGGTAATACCGAATTGCATGCATCCGTTTTTAGACATGATGCAAGAAGATAAATATTTAAGAAAAAATTGAATCTGTAATCAGCTACACCCAACATCTGTATTTGCAAGAAAGTCTACAAATGTTTAATTTAACAATCAAATGTGAAGTAAGACTGAAAGATTGGGTTAGATGAAAGGAACTGCAAAATTGACAATCTTTCAGTAATAATGCCGTTCAAATGACAAAAATGAACAAAAGATTGAACGCAACACAAAATAGAAGCTCTGCGTATTACAATTACACTCACTTGACATTTTGAAAAGTACATTCATTCAGTCTCTTGCCTTTTTAAAGTATTGAACACCTCAACAAACAAAACAATCAACAAACATTCATAGAAACAAACAAACATGCATGCATACATACATACATACATGCATTAGGCCTTAGCAATAGTCAATATAATTCTTATAGTGCAATATATAAAAATGACGGCAGTGATTTTTGGAGGCCGGTATATTGTCTATGTTATATAAAGAAGTTTAAGATGATGGTGGTGATGGTGATGATTAGGTTATATAATAATACATAATAACATAAGGTTTTTTTTTTTTGTCCAACACGCTGCATTTTGCTTTCTGTGGATTATGCAGCATTTGCGCACACACATATACGCAACATTTTCATCCACCTATTTTTATGTGTATTTTGAATATGCGCATTTAATTAAAAAACAAAACAAAATCTGGGTTGATGGAAACGACAAAATAGCATATTGTAAAACATCCGACATGTTGTTTTGGTCATTCTAAAACGCCTGAACCATTTCAGTATTAGTGTTATTATATTACTAATGACCTCCAGAATCAAGAATGTCTGTGATTGCGTCTCACGTCTTCAAACGCCACCGCAAGTTCACTGCATGTCAGGATTGCGTTATGAGGTGGAAGACATTTATTGAATGAAAAAACGATTAATGCAGCTTCTCCTACCACAACAAATTCTGTTTTTATTATTGATATTTGATGTCAGTTAATCAAGAAGTGACCATTTTGTTTGACTCGTTGGATGGAAACGCTGCTTTATTCGCACGTCTGTTATGCAATAATCCAGTTATGCTCATAAAGTTAAAGTTAATTTGCATTACTTGGCTAAAGAGATGAAGCTGTTAAACACACTCGAAAAATCAGCATTAAAAAATGCTGCAAACCTTTAACAAACAGTCCTGTCTTGCCTGATTATTAAAAAATGGCGCCTGAGATGCTTTAAAACACTTTTTTTTTTACATCTATTGTTTATTATTATTTATTCGTTTTAAGATTTTTCTTCATGTTTTAATTTTAAATGTCTAAATATTCTTAAAACTATAAAGTTCTTTGAAACAGTGTACCTGAATTATTACACTATTATGTTATAAAAATTTATTATTTTTTTATTAGTGACAAGTTATGAAGTGGCAAAAAAATTGTTTATCGCAATTAATTTGCGTGCAATACATCACCCAGCAAAAAACTGATATCGTGACAGCCCTAACATGCATCAGTATTTACACACATAAACCGGAGTCTATTAAGCACTCAGAAAAAAAACAAAACAAAACAAAACAGCATCATTATACCCATTTTTGAGCTTGTGGGGTCCCTAGCATAGCAAAAGAACACCATAGAGCATGCTTTATTCATTTAACTACCATTGGACCATGAAAGTTTTTTAGCTAGACTTGGAAGTGATGGTTTATCAGACAAGGCTGCGTTGTGGTTTAATGCTTTATGTTTAAAGTGAAGATCTGAAGTGTGTGCAAAAGTGCAGTGTCAAATCAGATTAAATAAAAGTGATTATGGGATTCCACCAAGGATATGTATTGGTGCAGTTATTATTGACTTGATACATAATTGCTTAAAGCTGCAGCTAGGATTTTATTTATCAGGGCTGAAAAAAAATGACTTTTGTAGGAATGCAGTGTATTAACATGCTCCATTTCATTCCCAGCTGGATGCTGTGCATCATTTTGCCTCAATCATCGACTGCAAGTTTTCTACACATCACTCTGCATGATAAAATGGAGTTTCCGGGTCTTCTCTTGCTATTCAAAGGAAAATTTGATATTTCTGTTTTTTGATTAAAAAAGTGGTTAGTAACTATTAATCTTTTAGTTGTGTAAATTGCTTCCTTGTCCTCATTTGTAAGTCGCTTTGGATAAAAGCGTCTGCTTATTGACTAAATCTAAATTATTAATTGTGTTTCTGGTGATATAATATTCATCTGTCTTTATCTAGACAGTAAAACTGCTTTTTTTTCAAGTGGTTATTTAGTAAATAAATACTTAATTAAAAATGAAAAACATCATGACAGACACCAGTCTGCTTTATTTAAATGTGGGTGATTTGGTGCATGATTTATTTAAACATTTCTCCTAGAAATGACATTTTAATTCTGACATGGAAACACTTGGAAACACTTTTAAAATCTCTCTCTCTTTTTTAAAAGAGGCACTGGTGTAAGTTGGTCCGTATACGTTTTGCTCATTTGTTTTCCAATTTTAAACAGCAATAGATACGAATATGGTTGTTTATCAGTTTTTTCTTTTACTAAAAAGACACCAAGTAAATTCATTCATTCATTTATTTTCTTTCTTTTTAGCTCAGTCCCTTTATTATTCTTGGGTCACCACAGCGGAATGAACCACCAACTTATCCAGCATATGTTTTATGCAGCAGATGCCCTTCCAGCTGCAACCCATCACTGGGAAACATCCACACACTAATTCACACACACATACACTACAGACAATTTAGCTTACCCAATTGACCTATACTACATGTCTTTGGAATGTGAGGGAAACCGGAGCACCTGGAAGAAACCCACACGAACACAGGGAGAACATGCAAACTCCACAAAGAAATGCCAACTGACCCAGCCGAGGCTCAAACCAGCAACCTTCCTGCTGTGAGGCGATAGTGCTATCCACTGCGCCACCACACTAAGTATACAATAATAATAATAAACCTATCATTTCTATTATTATTTAGGCCTACAGTAGATCTGAAACAATCTTGTAAACCAGGTGCTGCTCAGAAAAGGCTCATTGCCCAGCATCAGGTGCACAGCAGCAAGTTTGGTGGCGAACTATAGGCCTATTATTATTATTAATATTATTATTATTTAAGCCTTGCCTGGAAACAGTCATGCAAACCAGGTTCTAAACGAAAATGGCTATCTTTGCTCAGCATCAGGTACATAGCAGCAAGATGTTTGCCAGCGAACCTTATAATAATGACAAATGTCTAATAATGCTGCTAATTTAAGTTATGCATACACAATGAATGCAAGGCTAAAAACTGATCAAATGACAATGTGTCAACTTAGTTTATATAAATAATTAAATAATATTAAATAAATTATTGCGTGCTGATTCACAGAAGACTATTATTTTGAGGGTGACGACACAAGCTCAGATTTGGTTGACCAATCAGAGAAAAATAGATGTTTCAGAACGGTCTACATGTGTATAATTATTTTTAAGGTTGTTTATTCGTTTTCCTATCCTAAACCAAAAAAACGTAAAATCAAGCCAAAATATTGTTGTTTTTTCCAGTTTTTTGTGGGCAAACGAAAACTCATAAATGACCATTTTCTTCATTTCCTTGATTCCATTTAAAATCGGAAAACAAATGAGCAAAACGTACACAGACCAAAGTTAATGGTAATCTGGCCACAAATTCTGTTGTAAACTTAACTGACCTGTTCTCAAATTAGAATTTTTTGATAAGATGAATGGGGTTCTGGCCGCAGAAATGCAACCACCCACATTTAAATGTCAATATTTGTATGATGTTCAGAAACACTGCCGATTGATTTGAGAAAGTAACAAGAAAGGAAGGAGATGCTTCTTATTCTTTTATAGACTGGCTTAGATCATAGATCCCTTTGTTCTTACCACGAATGTGAGGGTATTAAAGCGATCCCTCTTCATTTGTAGGCACCTTTTGTTTACGTTTTGACCTGCAATCCAAAAGTCCAGTATCTGTATATGCATGACTAAATAACTAATATAATACACCTCAAACCAGGAACACTCACAAGACATCACCCAGCAAACAAAAACCCTTCCACCAACTAATATAATACACCTTAAATCAGGACCACTCACAAGACATAGCCCCAGAAACCAAAAACCCTTCCACCAACTAATATAATACACCTCATAACATGACAAGACATAGCACCAGAAACCAAAAACCATTCCACCAACATGGAACCCTTTCACCAAACAAACAAACAAACAAACAAACAAAAACAGCACATGACAAACTAACCAAAACACACACACACCAACACAAATCTCTAGACTTAGAGATTTGTGAAAGACAAAAATGGTTAAGGAAAGCAGATTTCCACAATAATTTTTCATGGGAACTTCATTGTCCACTTTTTCAACCTTCTCCCAAAAGAGATTTAAAACATGGAGATATAAATCATTTCACAGCATGAAAATCAGGACCAGAGATTGCTAAACTAATGGTCATAAGAAATAAGTAAGTTTATTTAACTCAAAGCATCTCCATTTCCCATTAAAAAAATGTGTGGAACTCTAGATATCAAGTAAGCATAAATGGGATAGTTCAGCCAAAATTGAAAATGGCCTCATTATTTACTCTCCCTCATGTGGTTTTAAATTTTTACGAATGTCTTTCTTTACACAAAAGAAGATATTTTATGGATAATACCATAGAAAACTACCATGGAAGTCAATGGGTGCCAGCTACCAGCAAGTTTCAAAATATCTTCTTTTGTATTCAACAGAGAGGAAAAAACTCAAATAGGCTTTGAACAAGAGAAGTTCTAATAAAATATCAGAATGATATTTGGGTGAACTATCCTATTAAGCAGATGAGACAAAGTTGACCACTTACTGTTTCGTAACGAGCATATAAACTCCAAAACATCCAAGTAAAAGTAAACCTGGAACAAAATAAAGGAATTGTGAGAACTGAAAATGACTAAAGTTAAAAGAAGAAAAAACTATTGGTGTATTTTTCTTATAAAATTACATTTTCTAATCATCATTCTACACTGTAAAAAAAATAAATAAATTTGAGGCTTGTAATTTTCATTAAAAAATGTATGTGGTCATTAAAAATAATGTGCATATTTTCTTAAAAAATTATATTCTGGATTTATTATAAAATATTGAGATGATTTTGCTAATAAAATCAAGAAATAAATTTCACTTGTTTTTTTAAGCAAACTAGTGCAATTATTAGGCTTAACTTGAGAAACTAATTAAGCTAATAAAATTGAGGAAAGATGGCTTCATATTTATAAAAAAAATAAATAAAAAAAAATCACTCTTTGCGGATTTGATTGAGATGTTTGCATTTGAATCTCAACAACAGCAGTGATCAGATGACATTTTGAAGGAGCACAACATCAATGAGCATGTTAAGAGGTAAGCATTAATAGTTTATAATGTTTATTGTCTTATATGAGCTCTTTTAGGAAAGACGCATGCCGTTCATGCTTGTTCGGGAGATTAGTTTTTGCCATACAATGTTTTTAGGGATACACAAGTACTTTTGACCACCCAACCATAGTTTAAACAGATTTGCTTCTGCGTTTATTATTAATAATATATTCACATTGAACAAATTATTTGCCTTTTAATAATTAACAGCAATGACCAAGCATTGCTGTTAAAGTGTTGTGGACGAACAACAGGGATCTTGTTAAGTGGTAAGCCTAAGCTAAAGTTAAGTTAGCTATAGCTATTCAATGGGGTTTATGCACAGCTAGTACTTTTCCATTTCATAAGGTTACTTTTACAGCATTGATGATGTAATGAACTGTGTTTATATATAATACTGTATAGAAATACTAATATTTGTTTGCTTCATTTTTCAGATAAAGAAATGTTTACAGTATTTTCCCACAAAAGAAGAGCAGTTTAATCAGGCAGATTTTGATGAAGAATATGGGTGCCAAACAGCAGGTATTTTTTATAATGTTATCAGTTTATTATTATTATTATTATTATTAAGCAATATTACTAATTTCTACACTTTTGTTGCGTTTGACCTCACATTAAATCAGAGGAGATGTCCTCTGTTGCTGGTCTATTTGTATGAAAAAGAGGAAGAGCTCATCCAGGAGTGCAATGTAAGTGTCTTAAAGCATTTCAGATATTTATAGTTTTCAGAAAACTGCATTTTACATTTTTGAATTACTGTTCACAGAGATACAAGGAAATGGTTTATTTTTTAATGTATGTCCTTAATTTGTTTTGGTAACCCTTAATCATTTGAAATTTAAACTGCATAATCTCATAATAATAAACTTAATGTTTATTTTTTAAAGTGTGGGAATGCACAGAGAATTGCTGTTTGCCAGAGGAATGACCAACTATGAGGATTTCTACATTGTCTTGGAGGATGAGTGAGTCATGGCTGGCGTGAAAAATCTAGAATTGCTGAACTGGATTTATACAAATATTACCCAAATTAAAATCACCCTAAAACAAACTTATAATAGGTTTCTGATACAAGCTCACAGCTACAACCTTTGGAGAAATTTCACTGCATTAATTAACTGACTGATTGATTGTATTGCTAATATTTCGAGATACAGCTTTTATACTGGTTTTTTTTTTTAATGTAATACACAAATTCTGTCAGATTTTGTAAAAAAATGTAACTATTCCTACAAAAGAAAGTTGGCAGAATTTTTTTTTCCATGACATGAATAAAGAACTTTTTTCAGAGCTTAACGTTGCTGTAGACTTTAAATAGATTTGTTTAACAAATTGTATGTATGATCTTGTTATCAGTGGAACATGTATTAAAATGATATTTGGCAAGAATGCATTGTGTATGTATTCTATTATAAATTATATATTTTACATTTTATGAATGAGTAATTTTCATTATTAATTATGGGTAAATGGTGGTGGATTTGCTTAAATTCTAAAAGCACATTTCACTAATAATATTAAAATAATCATATATCACTCAAAAAAACGAGTAATTTTCACATGATTCTTTCAAGTGGTTTTTGTAAAAAAAAAAAAAATCAAGTTTTGAAACTACTTTGAAAAAATAGCGGTAATAATATTGAACATATTTTGTTAAGTACATAGCACATAAGATTTTTTTTACAGTGCATCAAATATTGCATCCAATTAATAAAAAATAAACAGACAAGCAAACAAACTGCAGTGCAACTTTTGTCAGGAGGATGTTACTTTAAAATGAACTTCTTACCGGAACCTGACATGCATAAAACCCCATAAAAGCAGACGTAAGTCTAACTTATTGGCATTTATTGTCATGCCTGAGACTGTAAATGGTACTGATGTGTGCACAGCCTTCAGTCAGTAAAAAAAAAAACAAAACAAAAAAACAGGGCTGTCCAGTAAAATGATTTGGCTGCTGCTGCTACATTACTTTCGTTTATTTATTTGCATTACTTTGTAAAATAATTATGCAAGTAATTCAATAGCATTTAATTATATTGAGCTGTTCCAGTATCTTATGATATATAAAAAACAAGTTGATTTGAAAAAAAGCAAACTTATTTAAAACAACCCAAGACCAGAAACCTCAGATATTCAGTCTGACCCTTGTCAAGGTCACAAACGCTTGAGATAAACCTCGTTTTTGGATCAGCTTCCATTTCTCACTCTACACGTCTCCAAGCTTGTTGGATAAACATTTTGTTTATAATGACTGCTGTTGTAAATGTGTACTTATTTTAAGCTACTAATTTTATTCCTGTAAAACTTAGATCATTTTAAATTGTTTTTTTTTCTCCTCTCAGTGCAATTTTGGCCCAGTGAACTACATTTCCCCCTAAGACCAAATAAACTAAAAGATGGCTGAGACAAGACTTACCACCACTACCGAAAATTCCACCTAAAATCGCTGCAAAAAACAACAAATTGATAAAATTTAAATAATTACAAGAAATGAATGGAATAAGACAAAAACATTACAGATTTGTCCTTACAATCTATCAGATCAAATAAATATCTCAACACAACAAGTCTTAAACCCAAATCTAAAACTGAATTTAAAAAGTAATCAAACTCTGACAAGCACAAAAATGTTTGACAGACACACAAGTTTACTGAAATACTCAAATAAAATCACATACAATCCACGGGTTCATACAATATACAAAACAAACAAAAAAACAAAAAACACTGATTTCCACTAAATAGCATACATGTCATATAACATACAATATCAAATGGAAAAAAATGACTCACCTCCTAGAGGTGCGGAAGACGATGATGATTTTTCTTCTGTGGAAAGAAAATTAACAGAAAAATAAATAAATAAAACACACACACGATAAAATAAATTAAACAAGAAGAAAGAGTGAAGAAATAAGATACAAATAGACAGATCAACTAGAGAAGACTGTAAAAGATAATAAAATAAATAAAATAAAAACCCTAAAGCTTTGTTAAGCTGCTTTGGAAATGTGTCATGCTTCACCAATACATCTGAAGTGAATTGAACAAACAAGTTCTAGAAAGGAGTGATGCATTCTCAGGCAGGCAGGCAGGAGGACAGTATGGAGTATTACAAAAAGAGTAATTTTAAAGAAGTAACATCATCAAGATCTAGTTAGAGAGAGAGTGAAACAAGAATCTTACAGTAACTGAACAATATACAATAAACTTGACTTAAACCAGGATCAAAAAATGGAGTTGTAAGTACAAATGGCAATATAAAATTGCAAACACTTATTATTCTGAGTTATGAGTTAATGAGTTAGGAGTTAATCTTGGCAAGAATAAAGTGAGTAGTACAAACAAACAAACAAACAAATCTTTCAGAAAACAAACAGGACAGGGCAAAATCACTTCAGTAATTAAATGACTTGCTGCAGCATAACAGCAAAAAATGTATATAATGACTTAACATTTTTTTACATCAGTGTTCCTCAACCACATTCCTGGAGAACTACCAACACTGCATGTTTTAGATGTCTCCTTTGTATGTCACACCCATTACAGGTATTTCAGCCTCTGCTAATGAGCGGATAATCTGAATCAGGTGTTTGGTTAAGGAGACAAAGGAAAAAGTGCAGAGCTGGTGGTCTTCCAGGAACATGTTTAAGAAACACTTTATTAGATTACATTCAATTAAATATCCTTAACTGCATGAGTCAGGACTAGACATTATTAGTAACTCACAAATTCATGAGAACTTCCCTAGCTAAATGTTGGTTTTTCCCATGATCTACTTTAAGTTGACCATCATCATTACATAAATATTTATTTACATGTTTATGTAATGAACAGCCATTGAAATAGTCTCAGGACTTCCAGTTTCATTATATTCATAATAACTATATTATACTTAGAATAAAGAGGATACCAGAACATAACCTGCCCGAGCAGGTTTGCCATGTAGCGCAATATATCGTGGTCACAAAAAAACTATTAAAAACTGAGCTACCTTTTAGTACCTAAAACCCAGGATTGGTGCAAATTAAACTATCTGCTTATTAAGTGTGACGTCACGCGAAGCAGCTTCCAGGTCCAATCGATCTATCAGACTGTATATTAGACTCATCAAATGGTAATAATAATCGTTTACAAAGCGGTGTAATACTTTTGAAAATCACGATCGCAATGTACATATCCATGCCTGATATCTGATGGCCAGAAAGTGATTTTTTTATAAATTGTTAAAATTTTGTTATTTGTGATGCAGCGAGTCCAGAGACACATGTGTGTAGACAATGACTTTATATAAAATTCACTTTAGTGTGATATGACTAAAAAGTGGCCATAAATGAATACTTTCTCAATTCAAATGAGTAGCGGCTTGGACCCCGAAACAGTATTCCATAGGTCATGACTTAACAAGCGGATAACTTGACTAGCTAGCTAGTCAGCTATTCTAGCTTTACACTACAAGCCACCAAACCTTTTCTCTCTGTTTTTGGGGAAATATTCTGGAAGATTCTAATTTCAGAATAAAAACTGCAGTATACCATTTAAGAACAAGCATATAAACACTCACCACACAAAAATGCTGACATTTTTGGACTTTACATGCTAAATTCAGGGTTTCCTAAACCACAGAATTACCATTTGATGAATAAATGGAGTACATATACACTACTGAAAATTCCAATAGCATGTGATGGCAGCAAAAATTAAGCAGCAATGTACCGTCAAGTCTTTAATTTTCATTCTATCTCTTTCTAAAAGTTTATTTTAATTAAAGATATGATGCTACAATGCACATTATCTTAATCTTTTATTTACTGCACACAAATTTAATATTCAAGATAAACTATCTATGTACGAAACTTGTAAGGATAACTTTGGGTAAAAGATTTGCACCTGTGCAGTTTCAATGGGCTATATGCAAAGCTAGTGTTTTTCAACTTCTTGAAAGCTTTATGTGACTATTAAAAATTTAATATGGTTCATTTTACAGCATTGATGTTGTAATGTAATTCAAATGTAATTAAAAAAAAAAGACGAAAACCCATGTAACCGCCAGCAACGTCATTATCAACAAGTGAGTGCAGAAATTCCATTGAAAGTACTGGAGCAAAATTAATTTCCATATTTTAAAGACATGACATGGAAAAATATAATTTAATGGAGTGCTTTTTGTTTTTGTCTGATACCCACTTTATGTAGTATCTCAGCCAGGCAGTGAAGATCGATGTTTTAAAAAAAAAAAAATCATATTATAAACACTGCGATTTTGTATGAGATGGCAATTAACCGACAATTAAAAGTCTGTGTGCATATACCCCATTGTACCCCATATTGGAAAATATAAAAATGTAGTACTAGAAAGAAAAAGTTTAGTAGTACTTCCATGAATCGTATGAATAGTACTTACATGAAAAAAAAAAAAAAAAAAAAAAAAAACAGCCACTTTTATTCTCAAATAATATGGGAAATTTTCTAAACCATTAATCACTGAATAAATTTGAAATTCCTAGTACAAAATTTTGGGCCACTACTTTTTCTTAGTTCATAAGTTCTCTACCACCGCTATAGAATGCTCTCTCTTTCCAAACATTGATGATGTTAACTCTTTTAAAAAAGGGCAAACCTCAATGATTTAATATTGGAGTATACAGTATGTAAAGAGGATAATACCATCACCATCAGGTAGCACTTTAGATGTTGTGTGAGATGTGGGTGTTCTGGCAGTTGTGGGTGCTCTGGCAGTTGTGGTAGTTGTAGGTGAGGCTAAGAGTTACACATACAACATATTTGTTAGGGAACTATAATTGCAAGTTAAAAAAAAACTACATAACCCAAGAAATGCAAATTGCACCCTTTTTTTACCATGTGGGTAAAGATTAGCCATTCAGGTTTGGGGATTTCTTAAAAAAATACATTAATACTAATTTTCAAGTAAAAGATTACAGTAAAAAAAAAGGCTGAATTTGACAGATTTTTTTTTTGTTTCATGATTTTGTTTCATATGACACTGGCATTACATGAATATTAAAGGGCACATAGATTACCCCACTCATATTTAATAAAAGTCTTTTGTGTCCCTAGTGTCTGTAAAGTTTCAGTTCAAAACACCCATCAGAGTATTTATTATAGCTGTTTGAAGTGTCTGTATTATAGCTGGGAAAAGGTTGTTGCTGTTTTTTTGCACTGGGCCTTTAAGGCTAGTCATCCCCGACCAACGTTTCCACGTGCCTGTCAACAACATGCCTCAATCGCCGTCCTCGGCTGCCTCAGGAAGCAGATCTCACGTAACATTTGTGAGAAATACTACAGTAAGAACTTTACCAATCAGTATTTAATGCATTTTTTTTTTTGTAGAATTGCAACGAGTTCACGCACACACAGCGCAGACACACACACCCACACAGCACAGACACGTAGCGCAGACATACCCACACATACAGAGCGTAGATACGCAGACACGCCCACACATACAGAGCGTAGACACGCAGACACGCCCACACATACAGAGCGTAGACACGCAGACACGCCCACACATACAGAGCGTAGACACGCAGACACGCCCACACATACAGAGCGTAGACACGCAGACACGCCCACACATACAGAGCGTAGACACGCAGACACGCCCACACATACAGAGCGTAGACACGCAGACACACCCACACATACAGAGCGTAGACACGCAGACACACCCACACATACAGAGCGTAGACACGCAGACACACCCACACATACAGAGCGTAGACACGCAGACACACCCACACATACAGAGCGTAGACACGCAGACACACCCACACATACAGAGCGTAGACACGCAGACACACCCACACATACAGAGCGTAGACACGCAGACACACCCACACATACAGAGCGTAGACACGCAGACACACCCACACATACAGAGCGTAGACACGCAGACACACCCACACATACAAAGCGTAGACACGCAGACACACCCACACATACAGAGCGTAGACACGCAGACACACCCACACATACAGAGCGTAGACACGCAGACACACCCACACATACAGAGCGTAGACACGCAGACACACCCACACATACAGAGCGTGTGTACATATATATACACACATATATATATATATATATACATACATACATACATATACTATATCTCCAGGAAGTATTCATAGCGCTACCCTTTTTCCACATTTTATGTTACAGCTTTATTCCAAAATTTATTTCCTCAAAATTCTACACACAAATACCCATAAGGACGATGTGAAAAAAAGATTTTTTTTAATTATAGCAAATTTATTAAAAATGAAAAAGCTGCAAAAAAAAAAAAAAAAAAAAAAAAAAAAAATCACATGTACATAAGTATTCACAGCCTTTGCCGTGAAGCTCTAAATTGAGCTCAGGAACATTCTGTTTCCACTGATCATTCTTGAGATGTTTTAACAGCTTAATTGGAGTTCACCTGTGGTAAATTTAGTTGATTAGCCATGACTTGAAAAGGCATACACCTGTCTATATAAGGTCCCCCTTAAAAGTGCATGTCAAAGCACAAACCAAGCATGAAGACAAAGGAATTGTCTGTAGATTGTAGACAGGATTGTCTTGAGGCACAAGGCTGTGGAAGGTTACAGAAATATTTCTACTGCTCTGAAAGTTCCAATGAGCACAGTGGCCTCCATCATCCGTAAGTGAAAGATGTTTGAAACCACCAGGACTCTTCCTAGAGCTGGCCGGCTAACTAAGCTGAGTGCTTGGGGGAGAAAGGAATTAGTCAGGGAGGTGATCAATAACCCGACGGTCACTCTGTCTTAGCTCCAGTGTTCTTCTGTGGAGAGAGGAGAATCTTATAGAAAGGACAACGATCTGTGCAGCAATCCATCAATCAGGCCTGTATGGTAGAGTGGCCAGATGAAAGCCACTCCCCTCCTGGAATTTGTCAAAAGGCATCTGAAGGACTCTCAGACCATAAGAAACAAAATTTTCTGGTTTGATGAGACTAAAATTGAACTCTTTGGAGTGAACGCCAGGTGCTACGTTTAGAGAAAACCAGGCAACGCTCAACAGGCTAATACCATCCCTACAGTGAAGCATGTTGGTTGCAGCATCATCCTGTGGGGATGTTTTTCAGCAGCAGGAACTGGAAGACTAGTCAGGATAGAGGGAAAGATGAATGCAGCAACGTACAGAGACATCCTGATTGAAAACCTGCTTCAGAGTGCTCTTGACCTTAGACTGGGGCAGATTGACCTCAGACAGTTCATCTTCCAGCAGGACAATGACCAACTGACAAAATATCAATGAAGACAATGACTTTATATAAAATTCACTTTAGTGTGATATGACTAAAAAGTGGCCATAAATGAATACTTTCTCAATTCAAATGAGTAGCGGCTTGGACCCCGAAATGAAATGGCTTCACAACAACTCGTGAATGTCCTTGAGTGGCCCAGCCAGAGGCAAAAACTAAATTCTATTGAACATCTCTGAAGATCTCTGAAAAAGGCTGTACACCGTTGCTTCCCACCCAACCTGATAGAGCTTGAGAGGTACTGCAAAAAACAATGGGCAAAAATTCCCAAAGACAAGTGTGCCAAGCTTGTGGCATCATATTCAAAAAGACTTGAGGCTGTAATTGCTGCCAAAGGTGCATCAACAAAGTATTGAGCAAAGGCTGTGAATACTTATGTACATGTGATTTTTCTGTTTTGTTTTTTTTTTGTATAAATTTGCAACAATTTAAATAAAATCTTTTTTCACATTGTCATTATGGGGTATTGTGTGTAGAATTGAGGAAATAAATACATTTAATCCATTTTGGAATAAGGTTGTAACAAAACATAGTGGCAAAAGTGAAGCACTGTGAATACTTTACGGATGCACTGTACATATAATAACTTGCGCTGTTTAATTTTGGCGAGCTACCATTATAATTTGAGGCACAAAGGCGTTACTTTTAGTGTACTCTCAGACAGGTATATTTTTAGTAATGCATTTTTTTAATTAATGCCCAGTGTGATTAATTGTTTTAATACCTTTATCATCTAATATGACATGCTATCTCAACTAATAATAATAACTGCAAAAATTAATTTTACAAATTAACAAAAAAGAATAGAAATAAAGACAAAATAAAATGACAAGACTGGAATATTTTTGACAAGTTATTTTGTTAAGCATTAGTGTCTTCAATTGCCAATGGCCCACGTGTGCCTGCAGCACTCACTATCCACACAACAACTCTCTTTATATACCACAAAAGATTTAATCAAACACACCACCACATTTAATAATGTACTTACCTTTGCAGGTCAGGAGCAGTTTTGTCCATTTGGTTTCCTCACAAGTAGCTATCCTAGATACTGTTGAATCAACTGGCTCATATCCACTCTTGCACTTAAATGCTACTTTGTCTCCATGAGGAAAAAGGTCTTTGGAGCTGAACTCCTCTCTTAAAGTGACATTTCCTCCAAAATTAGGCACTCTACAAGGCTCTGTAAAAAATATGCATGATAATTAAACTAATAGTAATCATTTAGCATTACAATCTATATTTTTTACAAACCACTTGAATGTGACATATTAAAAGCTTTAAGAGTTAGGAAAATTGTGATAAAGCATTAAAGGGTGTTCATTTATGTATTAAATATATATGTATATTCTTACCAATGCACTTTGGTGGTTCAGGATCCCATCCTCCTGCTCTACAGGCGATTTCCTTTATTCCTTTCAGTGTATAGAGATCTTCACATTTGTACTCTATAAAGTGTCCTATTTTGTATGGAGGAGATCTTCCACCAATTCTAATTGCATGTGGAATTTCAGGCTTTGGACACCCATCTGCAAAATGGGACAAATTAAAAAAAGTGAACATTAGCATTTTATATTAATCAAACATCACATCAATTTGTTAGTACTAGTATTCATAAACATCCAAATAAAACCCAATTTTCATTTGTAACCGTTTTAGCAACAACTTACCCAAACATTTGGGTGGATCTGGTTTAAAGGTCCCATCATCAGAACAATGAAGGTTTGAACTTCCACTAAGACTAAACCCAGAATTACATCTGTAGGTTACAACTTGTGAATATTCATAACTTTCCAAAGGCTCATCTGAAAGTTGTCCATTTTCTATGGATGGTGGTGCCGCACATTTCACCACTGAAAAAAAAACATCCAGGTGAAGAGATTGAATATTTTGCTGCATCACCCAGTAAAAAGCATATAAAAACTCTATCAAGTATTGCATGCTCTTCTATGAAATATTAAGCACAAATCTTAACTCACCTTCACATTCAGGATCTCTGCCATCCCATCCTCCATCGCGGCACACTCTTTGATCTAACCCATACCCAACTAACATGTATCTGAAAGAAATGATCATCTTCTTACAAAACACCGCAGACAATCTCAATTCCAAAATGTTACAATAGCAAAAAAAAAAAAAAAAGAAGAAATTTCTATAATCTGACTCACCCTGTGTTACAAATGGGTTTAATTGTGTCCCCAAACAAAATTCCAGATATTTCATATCTCCCATTTACAATTTCTGGAGGACTTCCACAGGATTTTTCTGTAATCAATTCAAAATGTTAAGCAGATGCACAATTTATAACACATGTGTACAGATAATTGATTTATTTAAAAACAGGAGTAAATTAATATTAATTATCTGCTAATATAGAGCTCAGACTCATTATACAGTGCATGCATTTTCAAGTGCAATGTAAGTGCTAGTCTCATGTCTGCAAAAAAATAAAAAATACATTTAAAAAAAGGTAAGGACTACTAAGCAATTTAAGGACTTGGTGGCCTCTACTCAGCATCTTTTACATTTCTAAATTGAAAAAAAAACAAGAAATTTCTTTTAAAGGCATTTTGAAAAAGTTTACAATTTAAAGGTAAAATAAATGTATGTTATGTGCAAGAGATTTATTGGCAGTACATACTTTTGCAACTGAGCCCTAGATCTGTCCACTGGCTTTTTGTACAAGTAATTGATTTAGTTGCTCTTGAATCAACTGGTGTGTGCCCAGACAAGCACTCAAATGTTAAAGCAGATCCATCTGGCAAAGTTTGACCTGGACTGTAAGATCCTGATAAGACGACATTCCTTGATTCAAAAGAAGGCAGTGTACACTCTCCTGTGGAGATAAAAACAAAGCAAGTGTGTTATATAATGGAACATTAATCTAATAGTCATCATCATTATTAGCACTACTAAACTGTCTTCATTTGTGGAGCTGAAATTTCAATGCAAAAGGTTGAGGATTTTTCATTATTAATGTTTCCATATCTTGGAATGTCTAAGGCAGACTTAAATTATAGCAAAATAAAGTACAGACAACTCTGCAAACGCAGGTTCTACAATGAAATAATCCTAGTTAACAGAGTTATTCAACTGCTAATGTTTCATTTGTGGTCTATGGACAAAACACATCTTCTGGTTAGGGCCAGGCTTAACTCTATCTAGACCACATCATCCATATTTTCAGCGTATAAAGCATTTTATTCAATGTCAGAGGCTACAAGTTTTATTAGTAATAAGCAAATAAGAAAAATAAGTGCAGTAAATTGTAAAACATTTTGCACTACAAGCCAGTGGTACAATACATTAGAACAATCAGATACAAATACTTGTTTGCAATATCAAGCAGCCCAGCAGACTGTTGTACGGGCAAAAGTCACTGGGTTTATTACACATACTCAAATATATTATACGCATCCATTTCATGACTACAGTGAAGACTAGTTTTGTTCAGAAGATATAATACTATCAAGCATCAGAAGACTAAAACAGTTTTGCTTGCAAAACATGGTGTTGTTGACAGTATAAATATTATGCTGCTAGGTGATACACCACAGTAAACAAACTCACATCTACTTTTTCTTATTTTTTCTTATTATGATTATTGAGTATAACACTATTCAAACAAAAGAATATTTATGTCCAACTTTTCAGAGTTTTTGCAGGTTTTATAAAGGCAAATCTAAGCCTTCAATACTCACTTATTTAAATTAGGTTATCATTTAAATAAGATTGTGTTATCTTAGTGTCATTTTATAACTGCCGCTCCTTTTTATTGGTTTATGATATTGTTTTTTTATACAGTGAGGGAAATAAGTATTGAACACGTCATGTTATTTCCTGGGAATAATATTTTTAAAGAGCTGTTAACATGGAATTGTAAAATGGGAAAACAAAATAAATCTGAAAAACAACTTGAGTGTAATAATGAAATGACACAAGGAGAAAGTACAACACTACTGAAAAGTATTTATTACTTTATATACAAGACTTTTTGGTGATGATTTTTTTGGATATGAAAAGAATTCACATGCACTGCTCATTACAGACTTTAACAAAATGTTAAAATCTTGATGGTTCTGTGAGTCTCGTCTTTCAAATCTGATCATTCTGCAGCTTGATTTTCTTTCTCTGAAAGCATGTGAGAGTTTTAATGGCTGTGTTTTGCATGATTGTCTTGCTGAAATGTCTACCCTGGTTTCATCTTCATCATCCCGTTACTGCAGATGCTGGACTGAAGCAGCTAATATGAATTTACAATGATGAAAAGCAGAGGGTTGCTGAAGAACTGCTGAGATTTCAGCTGCTGTCTGGGTTTTCACTGCATTTATACACCTCTCTTTCTTCATGTGTTCAATACATTCTCCCCGTGTCATTTCATTTTTATTACACATAACTTCATTTAAACTAATTTGAAACTATTTTAAAATAAACTAGTTTTGTTTTCTTTACATATGTGGATTTATTTGGTTGCTACCAACATTTGATAAAAATTTGAAGTCAAAAGCACCTAGTTTTCTGAGAAAAATAGGCACATGTTAAATACTTACTTCCCCCACTCTACATTGCTCCTCATGTTCGTTGTGATCTTGAGCGGTTTGACAGGTGCCTCAAACAAAATTTATTATTATTATTATTAAGCTTATTAATAATAAGGGTTTATAAGACCCTATTATGGTATGAATAATTCAAAAGAAACAAAAAACATCCTGTGAATTTATAGGATGAGAATATTTGATGTATTGTTCTTCCGCAATTGTTTTGTTTCCTTATCCAGCGCAAATACCTAAAGGACCATAAATCCAGAGACATTTGCTCTAGAAGCAAAATTATGAGACAAGATATCCTTTCCTGCTTTCTGTAAAATTGCTTAAAAGAAAGTGAATTATAAATTAAACAACAACTAATACCTGGAACTGCATATACAACTTAATCCACACACAGCATTGATTCTTATTTTATAAGCTCACTTATAAGGTGCCATAGTGTGCATTTACTCAGCAAGTCATAGTATTCTCTTGATATCTACAAATCAGTAGGTTTGTGGCTTAGATAAGGTCAATTCCCCTGAAACAGTTTTATATGCACATTTATAACCCCAAAAATTATCTCTAGTATCAGAAGCTCAGGTTTGACCATAGTTGGAACTGCCATAAGTAAAGGGTATAAACAGAACTTCTTAAGTTGAATTTAATACCTTTTACTACCTTTTTTAATACCTTCAAAAAAAATTAATACCAGCACGACTTGCAACTGTAGTGGCGTAAATTAAATATCTTTCCAAATGGAATAACATATTGCAGATAACATACATTTAAGTAAAGCAGAGGGATTAATCAAGGTATCACAATGGGCCTTTGTCCATAGTTTTAAATCAATGTCATATATGTCAATAGTGGCTCTTCTAAGAACAGTTCGGTATGGTTACGGTTGTTTCTCCTCTGAACCTGAAACAGTGCAGCACAATTACAAACTTTTCTCGACCCGGAATTCTTGGCACAGCTAGACAACTGTGCTGAACTGTGCCGATAAATTCCGTGTGTCAGGGCTCAAAATGAACTTTTTTACTTGGCCGCACCGGTGCTCCCAACTTCAAATATTTAGGAGCACCAAAAAAATGTAGGAGCACCCACCAAAAATGATGAGCACCACTGCAAATTGTATATTAAGGGGTTTGTTGCATTTGAAAACAACATCAATTAGGGCTAACAAAAACCAGAAACAACTATCTAACTAATTCTGTGATGACTTAATAAATGTTGTACTAATTTCAAAACAAATGTTTAATAATTATAAAATAATAATGATGACAATAATACTAATATTGAATTACATTTCTCATCATCATGCTGCCTTAATTGTGCCTAAATCGGAGTTATCTGCTATAAAAAGTCCTACTGTTACTTTATGAAAAATAAATCTATGGTTTGCATCAAACAAGCATTGCAGTAAGAAATGTCCATTTTGCAGTAATGTTTTTATATGCATGTCAATGTAATAAATAATATTTCTGCAACAAAACAAATGAAAGATAATAAATCATTCAATTCAAGGCTGAAAGCTGCGAAGCAGTCATCAGTATTTAAATAGAAAATAATATACACCTCAAGAAAGAATGGACAAAAAAAAAGGAAGAAAAGTCTCAATTCTATCACTGTTAAAATGTTTTGGTTTGGGTTTGTGTCATTTTAAATGCTCAGTCTTGTTATACGCTGATTTACTTTTTGTGAAAAAAGCAGGCGAGTCAGCCGACCGTGGCAGAGCAGGAATCTCGCGATGACCACCGGCGCAATACGGCTCTTTCTTATGACCCGCAGATTCAGAACAAACTCAGTAAAGACTAGCTTCTTTGGCGATGATGTGTGCAGTGTTAGATTATACATTTAGCGGGCATTTGCGCTGACACGCAGTGAATGCAACGCATCGAGATTCTGGCACCTTCTCCGAAAACACTCGATTGATCTCAGCTGGCGGATCAACATTCAAAACATAAAATCGCTGTCATCGGTACTTTTCACTCTTCAGCCGTTTGAATTTCCTGTGATCGCTAAAGCTCCCTGTCATCTGACAGCGGAAAGCCTCGAGTGACTGACAGCTGATATGAACCAATATAGCGGCAATATAATCGTCTTCTTGCAGAGGTGGGTATAAGCCTCGCGGCTTTTTGCCAACTACAGGCATAGGCCAGTCTTTAAATCTTGAGTCCTCCAGCCAGAGGTTTGAAAACTTGCATTTACCCATGTTTTAATTTAATTAATGAATGAAGGCGAGCTCGCCTATATTGTTGGCAGCAAGCCAGCCAGGTACCCACCTCACAGGTCCTACTCTCAACATACAAATAAATCCAGGCAAAATTTAGAATAAAGGCCTGCACTTGGCACAAATTGATAATTTAACTAAAATATTGGGCTCAAAAATTTAATACCTCGTCAAATGACATTTATTACTTTTTAATGCCCTTAATTTTGGCTAATTTCATTGACTACCTTTTACACCCTGGAGTATTATTGTGCCCTGCTCTGATTCTCATCATTGCCTGCTCTCTCACACAAGCAGTGTGATGTACTCTGAAATAGACACATGCAAAATAATTTTACTTCTATTGGTCCAAAAAAAGATTTTAAAAGAGGTCTTGTTAAATCTTTTCCACAGAAATGGTGAAGTGGTTTAAGCGAGAAGGAACGAGTGAATTATCTCCCGAGTTGTGTTGCAGATGATGTATAGTCTAAATTATTTTTTTTATTTACTCATAAATTTTAAACCGAAAAAGATTAAAATATAATTGGGCCTGACTCAGCATGAATGCTGCTTTTCAGCAGCTTCCTGGTGCTCTGCAGAACATTAAAACATGCAGACACCCTTAACATCTCATGCATCAACACATGTACAACAAACAGTGCAAATAATCACCAAACACACAAAATGAAGATTATAATTATACTTTAAAAAGGAAGAAAGATGTAAGTTGGAGTTGTATTTTAAAGCTTCAACACATATAAAACCCAGACAAGAATTTATATCAACCTTTAACTCAAGAGAAATTACAGTAAGAGCGGAGGAATGTGACACTGCATAAACTTAATTAAAAAACAGCATTGTCTGCATTTTGTAAACAAAGTGGAATGGCGAGCTTTAGTCCCTGCCTGAAAATGTAACACAAATTACAACTTAAATATATGCTTAGATAAACTTTTTTTTAACTATCACTGTTGTAATCTCCTTAGGAAATGTTTCTGAAACATTGGTTATGAAACTCACAGTATGCCATTTCTATTTACTGCACTCTAATTATTCAGCTATGCCTAGGCATATTAAGATTTTCATTGTATGGCGCCTTTAATGTTATTCAGTTTCTCAGAAAACTTCTTTATTTTGATTCTCAAATAAATATCTAGATTTAATGATGTTTGTACTAGCAAAACAAAAATACAGAGGAAGATTTATTGTGATAACTGCAAATTTTGATCTAATTTAGGTCTTTTTAAGGCTTTCAAATAAGATAATATTTTAGGTGAAATTTTGGGTTTTGGGACGTGGGACTCAAAAGAACTATTTTGGGAATTGTTATAATAATTCTTTCTGTATCAGGCTGACTTAATTAGACTTCCATGATATAGAGCATGATAATAATGTGTGTCCAAACTTGGTCCTAGAGGGCCGATGTTCTGCATAGTTTAGCTCCAACTTCCTTTATCACACCTGCCTGTTTTTGTATACCTAGAAAGAGCTTGATTAGCTAGATGAGGTGTGTTTAATTGGGACCGAGTTTGGTCACCTTTGCTCTTTTTTTAAACTAATATATTGTATTCTAGAGCTCTATTCAATTGCTCTGTTATGAATATGCTGATCATTTTCTTTTACTTCTTGGTGTAACAATATATATCAGACAAAACTCTTGTGTTCACCCTAAAAAAAATCTCTACACATTTACTTGTTTTCATATGGGCAAGTGTAGAGTTTAATCTACTGTATAGCTACTGTATACCGGTTCTTATACCTATTAAAACTGAACTGTACTGGTACCTGCAAAAATGTTTCCAATTCAGAGGAAGGTAATCATCCTTATCTGATACAATCAACACAACATGAAAGAATGTGAACATGCTTATGTATCATTTAGCACTTCGGTCTAACAAGTTAATTTTTAAATGTGCTCAATAATTAAACAGGAACTTAAAAGGACCAAAAGTCACAAAACAATTTTGTTTTATATGGGTTTAACTGTAGTTTGGCAGATACAGCAGTCAAAAACACGTGGTGGGTAGACAGACAGACAGACAGATAGATAGATAGATAGATAGACTGTACGATATTGGAAAAAATGTTGCAATTTTTTAACACAATATTGCAATATTGAATATATAATTTCAGCAGATGAATTGAATGGGTCTATTTGAAAAGAATTCATAATTTTTCAATACATTGGGATGATTTTTAAGTCTTCTTTATAAAATAAAATAAACCAATCATAAACATTGAGAAATACAGTGGAGCAACAACATTGTACGAACAAAATATACAGTGCTCTATGATTTTCTGGAATTTTAGCAATATTTAAATTTAGTAATCAAATGTAAAATAACGTTTTTTAGTTTTCATCGTATATACAGATAAATATAATTATTATTTCCTAAAGTTAGAAACGTAATTTCCTAAATGATAAAAACAAACATAGATGATAAATGCTTTGGTAACATTTTTTTGTAACCTTTTAACCCGTTTTTGTTTCTTTGTGTTTTTATTGCATAACAATAACAATAGCATACAAAAATTAGGAATACAATGCTTCCATTTTTTCACATCAAAGGAACAAATCAGTAGAAAAAAATAATAATAAAAAAATAAAATACCAGTTTGACATTGCAGATCCTGCGATGTGAAGATTACGTACACACAATTTACATAAAATGCAGGGTTCCACACAATTCATTCATGTTGTCCCCCAACACAAATCGATTAAGTTAACTTAACAATTTTAACAAATTTATGTGGATTGGACATAAAAAAATTAAGTTGTGCCAATGAAATCTCAAGATTTGTGTTGCTTCAGCTCATTTTAATTAAGTACGAACGAGTAAAAAAATATTTTTGAGTGTATGCACAAATTGCGATATCGATGCTAAAATTATATATTGTGCAGCCCTGATAGATAGATAGATGGATAGATAGATAGCTACTACTCACCTTGAACATGTGTACACATCAAAAGACAGGAGAACAAAGCAACAGCGAGAGAAAGCACATTTCTTGGCATCTTATTTCGATGAATGGCAGCACTAAATACGTTTTTGATTTCTGCAATTAATAAACATAAAAACAACTTAGTTATTAGAAATTCACATTGAACTCTTTTTCTGAACAACTATTTTCTGTTAGCGGCTAGCATAACAATAACATTAGAGGCCGGTTTGAAATTATGAACGTCGCATTTCGTCGTAACCTCGCATTTTTAATTAGCCATACAACAAATACTATCACTCAGTACAACACAAGTACACGACAGAATAAAAACACATTTTTTGGTTAGCATGTTAGCGGCTAGCATAACAATCAAGACGCAATTTAGATTAAAGCAATTGCTTAAAACGAATAAATAAAAAAGGGGTTAGTCAAACTAACCAAGCCTCATATAAATATCTTACAGATTTCTTCGTTATGCTAAAAATAACGTTACGCAACGCGTTGAACTTGGAAGGGCGTGATGGCAACTAACATTACACTTCAAGATTAACATTAGATCCATAAACATTTAACGTTAGAATAAACAGTATCAACGGTCTGTTTAGTGTAATAGTCGATAACCCTAAGCCTAGCCAAGTCCAACACACACAAAATATAATCGTGTAACAACACACGCCACACTTTGAAATAACAATCATTTCGATTAAATTGTTTTTGGTTTCTGTTTATTAAGTCTAACGTTAACGTTAGATGGTGCTCAGAAAAGATGAACGTTTTTTAACGTTACCTTTAGGTGTTCAGGCTATATTTCTCACTCTTCCGTGTCAGATTAGGTCAGTTTAACTTTCCGGAACAGATTAAAGCGTACGGAGATCATGTCGGGTTAGTATTTTTTTCCAAGGAGGTGTTTTACAGCAAAGGGCGTAACCAAAACGTCATACAAAGGCCCTGGAAAAATATACCCATTACCGCCACCTACTCCACTGGAGTGTGGGCAGTAGCTTGACAACAACGTACTAGGGATAGAGAAAGAGAGAACTATCATAAAATATATTCATGCTAATTTCTTACACTTAATCCTGTGTTTTTTATATATTAAGTCTCCTGGACTTGACATGTGAGAGCGGATGCACACAGGAAATCCGCAGGGCTGAAAAAAACCTAAGTATCGCACACTATTTCCTTAATACAGATGTTAATGTTTACAAGATCCGTTTTTTATTTTTTTATTTTAATAACGCATTAGTAAATGCAGAAACCAGCGTTAACTAGATACATAAATAAACGAGTAATAAATGATGTGCAGCATTGTTTATGTGAATTCTCAGTTTACGATATTAATAGCTACATTAACTAAAGGAGACTTAACCCTTTAACTGCCTGCTCTAGCAAATGGTTGACCATGTTTTGACTGTTCTCAATAATGGTTTACACTACACAGCATATATATATATATATATATATATATATATATATATATATATATATATATATATATATATATATATATATATATATATATATATATATCAAACAAACTAACTAACTAACAAGTAAATGAGAATCTGAAATATTTTTTATGGCATAATTAAAAAAGTAAAAAATATTTAGCATGACCACAGAAAGTTTGAGTATTTGGGCAATCTCGTTGATGTTGCAAGATAAGCGAGGGTGTTCTCTCAATAGTTTCCTTACCTACTTAAATGACACTTTTAAAATAGCAAAATGGAGTTTGTGGATGAAGGTTTCTCACACGGTTAAAAGTAAAAATAATATTAACAATAAATTTTGAGTTCATGATCAAACTATTATGATTAATCGTGATTAATTTTCTCAATAATGACAAACCCTCTAATAAGGCTACTTAATGAGAAACCTTATAACTATTAGAGCTTGAGTTGTAATTTTTAAGAATGAAATGTTGCAGAAACAAATATCACAATACATACATTCATTCATTCGTTGTCTTTTCAGCTTAGTCCCTTTATTAATCTGGGGTTGCCACAGAGGAATGAACCGCCAACCCATCCAGCACATGTTTAATGCAACGGATGCCGTACCAGCTGCAATCCATCACTGGGAAACATCCATACACACTCATTCACACATACTATACGGACAATTTAGCTTATTCCCCTTTACCACATGTCTTTGGACTGTGTGAGAAATCAGAGCACCCAGAGGAAACCCACACCAACACAGGGAGAACATGCAAACTCCACACAGAAATGCCAACTGATCCAGCTGAGGCTCGAACCAGCGACCTTCTTGCTGTGAGGGACAGTGGTACCCACTGCGCCACCACGCCGCCCCAGAATTTATACAACTTAAATTATTTACCAATTTAGAAAAATCTAAAACAACATCGTCTTGTAACTTCATTTTTTGAGCTTGATTTTGGTAAAATGTTAATATAGTGACACAAGACTTTGCCATGACTTTGTCAGTGTTTAATTGTTTGAAACTACAGTTACATTCATGTGTCGCAGTGACATTTTGGACATGAAATTTCTGGTAGACATCAATAAAGTTTTACAAATACATTTTATCTTATTATACTAAAGCATTGATACTTAATCCCAATATCAAATTTCCAAAGAAAAACAAAATTATGAAATGTTGGGCAAAATATTATATCAACAAAATCATCAGTCTCTCTATTTACCACAAGGCCCACACAGTTTGCACACTTTCTACAGACAATTCAGAAGCTATAAGAAGCTTTGAGTAAAAACAAAGAAACCCTACAAACGAAGAGCATACATATGGCCATCAGGCTATATAAATACACATATTCATAATATCAGGAAGACACATCTCAGGAACATACATCAGTCAGTAACTATAAAAAGAGTTTAGAAATTAAACGTAGCTATATACAAAAGCACTTTTGATCACAAAACATTCCTTACTTTAAATTTAGATTCCACACTAGTTTCAAGATAAACAGCTATACACAATACAGTTCATATAACATTGAATGTGCGGATGTTTAAACCGGATTTGACCAGCAAGAATAGAAGGCGAGATAGTCATCAAGTCTCTGATGTGATTCTCACAGGACAAAATATGAATGAGAAATTTATAAAAGAGCCATGGTCCCACTATAATTTGTCCGTGTCTGCCATATATATATATGGTAACTTGCCTAATTAACCTAACTTCTCTAATTAACCTGAATAATAGTATTTTGCAAAGTAACAAACAACAAAAACTTCAAAATATAAAGTCAGTTCTAAGAAATTATTTATTAAAACTATTGTGTTTAGAAATGTTTGGAAAAAACTTCTCTCCATTAAACAGCACTTATTAAATATATAAAAAAAATAATTAAACATTTGCAGGGGTGTGTGTGTGAGTGTGTGTGTGTGAGTGTGTGTGTGTGTGTGTGTGTGTGTGTGTGTGTGTGTGTGTGTGTGTGGGGGGGGGGGGGGGGTTATGATATATATAAAATCTTTTTTTCTTAATATAAAATCAAATATTGCAAAGTTATGGAAGCTTTTCCATAGTTTACATGAGAACTCTAACGATTATACAACAATTAATTATAACTTTAGTTAATTATTTAAATTTAAATTTACTCAGTAAATGTCATTAAGCTAAGAATTAAGGCAATGGTAACAATTTACCTTTGCCCTCCAAGGCATTTTTCAGCTCAGAGAGATTCTGCTGAAGAAAGAGGTATTTTTCATAGTCAGTAACAGTAAAATACACAGTTACTTAGTATACCAAAGTGTAAAAAAACAAAACAATAATTTGTACAAATATGATACACCTTTAAAAATCAAGGGTCAGTGGTAAGAAATAAAGATTCTTAATTTATTATTTTTTTGGTTCCACAAAGAACCATTTTCTAAAAAGTTCTTCAAAAAACCCTTTTTTTTCAATAGTGAATTTTTTTCCCCCACTGCAAAGAATGTTTTGTGGGATGAAAAGTTCCAAGTATGCTGCAGGTTCTTTATAGAACCATCGATGCCAATAAATAACCCTTTCTAATGAGAGTGTAATGTAATGCTCTCTGCAGGCAACTTTACTGCAAGTAAATGCAAGTTTGATGAATTGAAAATCTGAAGAATGTATAGCAAATAAGAATTTTAAAATATGCAATCTGTCTTAAATTGTAATATTTTACATTTCAAATGTGACACCCATCTGAAATAAAATAAGAGACTACACATTTTTCGACATCTCAAAAGTCACAATAAGGACAATTATATCATTTTTATTTAGTGGCCTTTTAATTATAATTTACCCAAACATTTTGGTGGATCTTGTTCAAACGTCCCATCCTCTGAAAAAAGTAGCATTGAACTTCCATTCAGAAAAAAGCCACTGTTACATTTGTAAATGACAGCTTCAATTTTCCCATTTTCTATGACTGGAGGTGGTTGAGGTTTTGCTAAAGCAAAAAGGAAAAAATAAGAAACACAATTATTGTAAATATCTACTCTTGTAAAAGGGTCCTTATAGAGATTACTCTGTGTAATAACAATCATAGGCATAGCTATAAATGACTTTAAATCGGATAGATTAAAGTAAACATAAAACATTTATTGATTTATTTGAGTATAATATCAGTCACATGATCAGAAAAGCCACATGTCTTGCTGTATTGTGCTCAACAGATACCTGTATTTCAAGAGTTCACACTAAGCTGATGATTGTTTATAAAGCGTGTTTGGCATGCTGTTCCGGGAGAGAGCCCTGAGCTTGTAAAATTCTCGAGCCCTGGGCTCCTTCACGTTAGCAAGGTGAGAGGGAAGTTTGAGCTCAGGTAGACCTCAATGAACTTCCCGACTTGCTATTGGCCAATCACAGATTATAGCAACCCAGGCTCAGTCTGAAAACATAGTCCCGCGGACGTTTCTGGAGACAGTGAATTATGTAGCCAGAGGTACGTATGGCTGTATTTCTTTTTTTAAGTGAACGCTACGGGGCGGTATGACGCCGTTCCTTTTGGCGCTTACTGGCTGAAAGATAACTTAATAAAATTCATAAACTAATAATTGCATGCAATTGCATAAATAGAGTAGATTGTATTTAATATATTTATGTTGTACAGCCTGTTATTAATAAAGCAAAGATCAACAATAATCAAATTTAAAAATGTTGATGGACCATACAACTTGTGTATTGTATTCTAAATCTTTTAAAGTCCTGCATCATTATTTGAGAACCAAAACTTACAGGGTTGCCTTAAATACTGTACATAAATTATTAGTATTTGTTTTCTTTTTCAAATGTTTCCCAAATTATGTTTAACAGATCAAGGGATTAAGGAATTTGTCACAATATTTCCTATATACAGTTGAAGTCAGAATTATTAGCCCCCTTTAGATTTTTTTTTCTTTTTTAAATATTTCCCAAATGATTTTTAACAGAGCAAGAACATTTTCACAGTATGTCTGATAATATTTTGTCTTCTGGAGAAAGTCTTATTTGTTTTATTTCGGCAAGAATAAAAGCAATTTTTAGTTTTTTAAAAACCATTTTTGGGACAAAATTATTAGCCCCTTTAAGCTAATTTTTTTCCCGACAGTCTACAGAACAAACCATTGTTATAGAATTACTTGACTAATTACCCTAACCTGCCTAGTTCACCTAATTAACCTAGTTAAGTCTTTAAATTTCACTTTAAGCTGTATAGAAGTGTCTTGAAGAATATCTAGTCATATATTATTTACTGTCATCATGGCAAATATAAAAAAAATCAGTTATTAGAAATGAGATATTAAAACTGTTATGTTTAGAAATGTGTTGAAAAAATCTGCTCTTCGTTAAACAGAAATCTGGGAAAAAAATAAACAAGCAGTCTAATAATTCAGGGGGGCTAATAATGCTAACTTCAACTGTATTTTAAGATTAATTCTATTTTTCAACTAAAAAGTATCACATTTTACATTCAACTAAAGGAGGTCAATCGCAAATGCTTAAGAAAAAATTAAATGTTTTATAAATGTGACAATTTGATATGTAAGAACTACGTTGTCATTCATTTGAAACATTTTGTGTTTTGATAGATATGTTGTTTAAAATTTGTGTTATTTTTATTAAATTTTTCAGTTAAAAGGTCTTGTCAATCTTGACAATTTCTATTGTATATGCGCAGAGATTTATTACTACAGTAGGTTAAATAACTAATTGAGTAAAACAGTCACTTTAAAGACTACTTCTACTTTTACCTTTCAAGTAATTAGAAAAATAATTTAAATATGATGTAATTACTAATTAATTTCTTTTTTTACGTAACTTACCCAACAATGGTTTCACTAAAGTACCGTTCTAACATCCACAGCCTTTATATAGCAAGTGTGTTAAATGTAAAACTTTTACAGGGCCTTTTATTATTAAGATACATCAACAGATATGAAACCATTTTTAACAAACTTTTTTTTTTTTTTTTTTTTTTACGTTTATGTGATATGACAGTAGAGACAGAAATGTGAGGGGAGCAGAGAGAGGAGACAAATTGGCAAAAGACCATGATCCAGAAATCAAATTCGGGTCGAGACACTTAACCACTAGTCATTTGGCGACAGTGTTGACAGACAAAATGACAGAACTTACCTTTGCAGGTCAGGTGCAGTTTTGTCCATTTGGTTTCCTCACAAGTAACTGAATTAGATGCTGTTGAATCAACTGGCTCATATCCACTGCTGCACTTAAATGTTACTTTAGATCCATGTGGAAAAAGGTTTTTGGAGCTGAATTCTTTTGTTAAAGTGACTTTTCTTCCAAAATCCGGCAAACTACAAGGCTCTATAAAGATAAACACAAGAAATATTAATGAGAGTCAAACTGTTTCTTTACTAATTATTAATCATTTGTGTTTTTACTTTTCCACAACCATTTGAAGGTAACAGATTATAAACCTTTAACAAGTATGGGATCAGAACATTAAACAAAGTGACATCAGCAAGGGAATTAAAGCATTGATTTTTAAATCAAGCATTATTAAAATATTTATTTTTTACATTCTTACCAATGCACTTTGGTGGTTCAGGATCCCATCCTTCTGCTGTACAGGCGATTTCCTTTATTCCTTTCAGTGTATAGAGATCTTGACATTTGTACTCTATAAAGTGTCCTATTTTGTATGGGGGAGATTTTCCACCAATTCTAATTGCATGTGGAATTTCAGGCTTTGGACACCCATCTGCAAAATGGGACAAAATAAAAAAAAAGTGAACATAAGCATTTTATATTAATCAAACATCACATCAATTTGTTAGTACTAGTATTCATAAACATCCAAATAAAACCCAATTTTCATTTGTAACCGTTTTAGCAACTACTTACCCAAACATTTGGGTGGATCTGGTTTAAAGGTCCCATCATCAGAACAATGAAGGTTTGGACTTCCACTAAGACTAAACCCAGAATTACATCTGTAGGTCAAGACGTGTGTATATTCATAACTTTCCAGAGGCTCATGTAGAAGATGTCCATTTTCTACAGTTGGTGGTGCTGCACATTTCACCGCTGAATAGAATAAAAAACATCCAGGTTGATTTTGGGGTGCAATACACATGAGAGCACATAATTTTATACTGATCAAAGTGCCTCTGAATGAATGTGATATTTTGTTACAATTTTTGAAATAACTCACATTCACAAACTGGATCTCTGCTATCCCATCCTCCATCTCGACACACTCTTTGTGTTAACCCATACCCAACTAACATAAATCTGAAAGTGAATATTCATTTCTTATCAAACAATTAAAGACAGTGACAGTCTAATTACAAAAATGGAAAATTACAGTATAATTCATTTTAATCTTCTGACTCACCCTTTGTTACAAATGGGTTTAATTGTGTCACCAAATAAAACTCCAGTTATTTCATATCTCCCATTTGCAAATTCTGGAGGACTCCCACAGGATTTCCCTGTAGTTGATACAATATATTAAGCAGCTGCACAATTTATAATACATTACAATTTTAATACAAATTACAATTTAAAATAATCCAAAATCTTGTTTTCTTATTGTGTGTAGTTTTAATACATTTTATTTATTCCTGTGATTTAAAGCTCAAGTTTCAGCTTTATTACTCCAGTCTCTGTGTCTTTTGTGCTGATTCATATTTTGGTGCAAACTCTATTACAGTACATTCAAAAGTACCATTAAAATGTGCTTTCTTTTTATGAATTAAAGACACATTAAATTGTTTGAGAGTGACAACAAAGACAAGAATATATGTATAAAATATAATATATATATAATATATATAATATATATATATATATATATATATATATATATATATATATATATATATATATATATTTTTTTTTTTTTTTTAAATAATGCTGTTATTGTAGCTTTGTCGTCCTTTAATCCCAAGCAAAGATTCTAAGTTACAGTTTTCACTGTATTTCTTATACCAGATAATGTAATGCCTTGGTGATGCAGTCTTGGTGAGCAGAAAAGGCCTCTTTAAAAATACTTAAAAATCTTACTCATCTCAAACTATTGAGTGGTACTGTTTATGACATTTTATTTAACAAGTAAACTTCCACTTATTACTCTAGTATGCAAAATAAGGTAAATCAGGAAGTTACAATGACTGTGAAAAGGTTAAGAGAAAATGTGTGATGCTGCAATGTGTCTTGCATTAATATCTAAATCTACCTTGGAATTATAAGGTTCTATCTGCGTTTTAAATTATCCTGAGATATTGAGCTTCAAAGTTTGTGTGTAACATTTTTTTTTTTTTAAATAAAAAGTCTTAAATGTAAACAACTAATAAAAAACATCCCATAATGTAAATAAGTTGTCATTTAATAAGAATATGTCAATAACTCAATTTTGACAAAAATGTCAGATAGAAACTTATAAGGTGACGATTTGTCATTTGTATAATCAAAACAATGATTATCTGTAGTCATCAAAATGTTTTACTACATGTTTTTTTTTTTCACAACCATTTTAAGTTTTGTTTAAATCTTGTTGAAATGCCTATTGATATCCGCTTTTTGAAAAAGCTATATTTAATGATAGCTATTGGCAGTACATACTTGTGCAACTGAGCCCCAGATTTGTCCACTGGCTTCGCATACAAGTAATTGATTTAATTGCTCTTGAATCAACAGGTTTGTGCCCAGACATGCACTCAAATGTTAAAACAGATCCATCTTGGAAAGTGTGACCTGGACTATAATATCCTGATGAGGTAACATTCCTTGATTCAAAAGAAGGCAGTGTACACTGTCCTGTGGAGATAAAAACAAATCATATAGTAATAATCTGATTCAAAAATCTTAGAATACACTAGTAATTGGGCAACATTTTGCTGTTCAGAAAGACAAAAATGTTATATATACATACATACATATAAATGCCTACACTGTTTTAGTCTTTGCCTTGTGTTAAATGTGTATCTAATATTTTGTGGAGGATTTTGCTTGACCGTTTTGTTTGTTTTTTTTATAAGGCAGCACTGTGGCTCAGTGGATAGAATTGTCGCCTTAAAACAAGAAGGTTGCTTGTTTGAGTCTGCATTTCTGTGTAGAGTTTGCGTGTTCTTTCTGTATTTGTGTGGGTTTCTCTCCGGGTGCTCTGGTTTCCCCCACAATTCAAAGGTGCCAGAAAAAAAACTTGACAATAAAATTACAGAAATTTATCACAGAATAATGGACGTTAAAAAATAACAGAAAATTCCTTGAATTAAGATTTTCGATATTTCCGTCTTTTAACATCTGTTATTGTACGGTAAATTTCTGCTGTTTAACATCTGCCTTTTTTACGGTAAGTTTCTGTTATTTAATGGCCATTTTTAAAAGTTTATTTACTTTTTACCGGCACCCCAACAGTCACAAAAAAAAGAAAAGTAAAATAACAGATTTTTATTATTTGTGTATTTATATAATTAGCAATCTTCCTTCAAATCGATCATTTTATTTACTCCTTTGCGTAAATATGAAACTTATTAAAGAATTTCATATCTGTTTTTCACAGTATTTGAAATAGTTCTTTAAAAAAACTCAGTGAAGCACAACAAACTCACCTTCTATATTTGCTGCTTTCAAAATACACAGGAGGGCAGCAGAGCAGAGATGCAGCAATTCAAATCCCATAGTGTTTGAACTTTGGTGAACTTTGCCCATTTAACTGCAGAGAAATATACTTGGCTATATAAAAAAATGGAACAGCATATCATAATGTTGATCTATGCAGAATTTTTATTTTAGATTGAACACAATATCTTTTGGATTATATATATATATATATATATATATATATATATAATTATTATTTTTAAAAGCTTAATTTTCTTAAAGTTTATTAAATAAAATGCTTATAGCACACTGTATGTTGTGTATTATTGGTTTTACAATGCAATTAAAACAAAATATATTTGTGAGTAAATACTTTTAACATACTTTCTCAATTCTTTACCCAGATGTAATTTTAAAAGAAATGTATCATCCATTCTCTAAAAACTAATGCTAAGAATAATTGTTTGTAAAAAAGGCTGAATAACAGCTCATACTTACTCAGAGGTGTATGCAGGTGTATAAGCTCCATCAGAACTGATGTTTATATCCCTTGTCCTCATATAAATACGATATTGGGACAGGATGGGTGGACACATGAGGAAATCCTCTCAGTAACCTGATTCAAATACGCTTAAAATAAATGTCCCAAGATTGTGTTGTTGTTTTAGCAATGCCATAGAACAACCAATTTAATTTGCACAAAGAGTCAGAATTTTTTTTTTAAATAACAGTTTTATTTAAAGTGCAAAGTCCATTTTATTCATCTAAATGTTTTTTCATGGTATAAAAAAAAAACTTTTTTTAAGAGTGAGGGTCTAATACATTCTCCAGATATATGTAATGTTTTTTTTGTTGTTGTAAGAATCAACAAGTTTTAAGCTTAGAAATACTGTATGTGGTTACTACTATCACAATTAATTAATTGGTTTATTTTTACACGTGAAATAACAGAGGTTATAAATAGCTAGGGTGGAAAAAAACTGAAACTGCTTGCCTTATTTTTTCCAACAGAGATTATTTAAAACTCCCAAGGTATTATAAGTCATAGATTATGTGGCGCATCAAGGTCAAAAAACAACTTTAACAATAGCTCACTGAGTGATATTTTCCTTTCAGGATGGGCGGGCAATTATACTGTACTATGAATCACTTTCAGTTTCAGTCTTGTTTAATTGACAATTGTTTTCATCCTACTGGGGGTGTTGATGAAAACAACCAGATGTTGCCTGTTTAAGTGCCAGGGATATTTGTTTTTGCATTAACATCCTTTCTAACGTGAGGATGTTGTGGGATATTATTGGTCAAAGTGAGTACAAAACAGACACACACACACAAAAAAACATCACAACTAAATCTGAAATATCTACAAAATGGAATAACACAGTTCATGGCGTTAACTGCACACCTTATGGATAATAAGAACGTTGCATAAAAGTCAGCATTGAGTAAAATGAATGCAAAGTATGTGCCTTTATACAGTAAAAATAATAACTAGCAATGACTTTGTAATTGTGGTTGGCAGTCAGACATCTTTGGGATGTTTGTCTTGGGCTGAAAATATGTACGGTTTTGAGCATGAGTGCACTACACAGAGGATGATAATCATAGCTGAGAAGACGACCCAACGAAGACACTCATACCATAGAGGTAAAGCAGACCAAGACCTATAAAAGAAAAGCATTAGTTTTAATCTTACAAACTCAATTGTTCTGATTCTGTTTATTGAAACTGCATTAAAAATATTTCAATATAAGATATAAAAAAACAGATAATACTAAGCAAATTTCTATTAGAAATACTTTTGATATGCAGTTGAAGTCCCCCTGAATTATTAGCCCTCTGTTTATTTTTTCCCCTAAATTCTGGTTAACGCAGTGAAGATTTCTTTAACACATTATTTATTTAATAACTGATTGATTTATCTTTGCCATGATGAGAGTAAATAACATTTGACTAGATATTTTTAAGACACTTCCATACAGCATAAAGTGACATTTAAAGGCTTAACTAGGTTAATTAGGTTAACTAGGTTAGAGTAATTAGGCAAGTTATTGTATAATGATGGTTTGTTCTGTAGACTATCGAAAAAAATATAGCTTAAAGGGGCTGATAATTTTGACCTTAAACTGTTTTTTTATTATTATTATTATTTTATTCTAGCTGAAATAAAACAAATAAAACTTTCTCCAAAAGACAAAATATTATCAGACATGCTGTGAAAATGTCCTTGCTCTGTTAAACATCATTTGGGAAATATTTAAAAAGAAAAAAAAAAATCAAAGGGGGGCTAATAATTCTGACTTCAACTGTATATAAAGTGGAAACCAAAATTAGAGAACAATTGTAAACTCGATTATAATTTTTTATTTCTTCAAATAATGTAATCTTCAAAAATTACATTGCGGCTATATCATACTAGTAAGAGGAGTGTTTCACAAAATTACCACTTTACACACAGTAATCAAAATAAGACAAAAAGCAATGATCATAGCATGAAAACTAGAATGAACATTTCTAAAGATTACAGCAGTCAAAAATCAGAAGATTGTTTGGCGGTCACTACTTTGATTAACTTCAGTATATCCGTATAGCCACAGTACTTCACTAGTCTCTTACTGGGCATCAGTCTTTCACTCTGCTTTGCTGTGTGATCTTGTTCAATTTTCTTATGTCTCTTCCACAGTTCACTGACTGTATTGGCTTTCTAAGCTATAACTTTGATTGCCAACCCCCATAGCAAAATTTCTCTGGCCCAAATCTGGCCCACACCATCAGCATTTGCTTGGCCCACATGCCGCAGTGAATTACTGTACATGACTGGACCAAGTCTGGCTTCCATACAAGCGGCAAACATGGACCATATCTGGGACAAGTCTCAGCCAAGTTGATAACCCATATCTGGGCTTGAACTAGGCCAGGTATGTTGGTGTGTCACTGTTATTTATGAACCCATCAACCATTTCGCTTTATGGCTGTGCTTTTTCTTGAAGCGACCTGATTGCTAAAAATTTTTCTTTGCTCAAAAATAATTTAAATGTGTTTTAAAAGTGGGTCAAGATTTTGTGGACCACATATACATTTAAACATCTGGGCCAAATACTACATTTGAGATCTGGCCCAAGTCTTGAGTGCCGCCTGTAAGACGGTGCCACCTCAGCCAAACCTGGGCCATGTTTGGCCCACATGCTGCATGCCAGAGCCGGACGAATGCCTGCGGTGCCAACTTTATTCCAAATCTGGGGCAAAATTCTTTGCTACCTGAAAAGGATTTTCCAGAGATTTTTAATTAGGTTTAGAGATCAAGACTCTGGGCTAGTCATTTTATTTTATTTTTTCATATTTTGCCCAAAGCAGTTGCTTTACAAGAAGCTAACTGATTTAGACGCTCTAGAATCAACTGCTCTGTGCTGAAACAAGCACTCAAATGTTAAAGCAGATACATCTTCTCTGTTTTTGAGCTTGTTTATAGGGCATCATGAACACCTTACAGCAAGAAGGTCGCTGGTTAGAGTTCCTGCATTTCTGTGTGGAGTTTGAATGTTCTCCCCGTGTTCGTATAGGTTTCTTTGGTTCATTAACCCATTTTGCTCTGTGATGGGGCTCGTTGTTTTGCAAACTGATTGGGATTGGCTGCTAAAATCAGATAATGAACTGCATGTCACTGACTTAACAAAGCTTCTGATAAACTCTAGAGGCCAAACACTTGCTGCAAACATCTAAAAACCATGAAGCTTCCTTTTCCATGATTTGGGTTCAGTCTTTCATCAGTTTGATGATGACAAACATGATATTTCAGATTCAAAAAAGTGGCTTTCAATACTAAAGTGAATGGTGGACCTGTTCTCTGTACACTCAACATGCTCCTCAGCAAAGATTGTGATTTTTTTCTGCCAGTGAGAGGTTTGATCACTGCAGACAAAATTTCTTTTAAATGTCACAATATTTTCCTATTCAGCACAGAACTGCCATGCAATTTTCAGCTGCAGTCTTCAAACAACTGACTATTAAAATCCTAAACATTATCCTGTCTTCTTGTACATTTGTCTTTCATGAACAATCAGCCAATTTGGGGGACTTGAGAGTGACATTCTAAAGCATTCTAAATTCTTTGGCCTTCATTTGGACAACCTTCTGTCTGAGTTTTTGTTTTTGAGTTTTTTGTTTTTGTCATGTGCTTCAGAATATATGTAATTCATGACATATGTTTAAAAAACTGCTCTATTACTTCTGCTTAACCTAATTTAAAATAAGACTAAGCAGTGGCCTTGTTGGTTGTTCTCTGACTTTAATGTCCATTTTAGGAGAAAATCTTTCATTCAAGTTTAAAATGAAATTATAAAATAAACAGTGAGGTTCAGTTTCATTCACTCAAGTGCTTCCAAACATTTATGAGTGCTTTTTCTGCTGAACACAAACATTGGTTTGACAGATAAGTACTACGGAAGTCAATGGTTACATGTTTCCAACATTTTCCAAAATATCTTCTTTTGTGTTCAGCAAACATATTAAGAAAGAAATATAAAAAAGAGACTCAATTTTGGAGGATGTAGCTGTAATTCATATAGCTATTATTTTACCCAGTAGCTTTCTGTTCTTTTTGATAAACTTACATTGTCTTATTCTGACTCCATGTGAGTTGAAAGACTGTCACTGTACTTTCCAATTTTTGGGGATGAGTGGATGTTGATAGTGACTCCGTAGATTGGATGGATGTTGAAAGAGGTGTTGTGCTTCTTATACATTCATGGCTAGAGAAAGCTGACCAAGAAAAAGGTTTATTGTCATTATTAGTGTTTAACAATTTTGCCATTCAGCCATTTTGTGCATGTTTCTTTATATTCTGAGAGATTATCGACTGTTAAAACTCTTTTCAGCCTTAAAGGGATAGTTCACCCAAATATGAAAACGTTGACATTATTTACTCATCCTCCACTTGCTCCAAACCTGTTTAATTTTCTTTCTTCTGCAGAACACAAAAAAGGATATGCTGAAGAATGTTGAAAAAAAAAACAGCCATTGACTTCCATTGAGCTATTTTTTTATTCTTCAGAATATCTTGTTTTGTGTTCAACAGAAAAAAGAAATTTATAAATGTTTGGAACCACTTGAGTGAGAGTAAATTGTAAGAAATTATCATTGTTGGGTGTACTATCCTTTTAAGCCTTTTAACAAATGTTTTGGAGGTAGCTGGAACTATACGCTAGATGTGGTAATCTTTTGCAAATCTTTTTATCCACCATTTAAGTAGTTAATGAAGCTTAATAAAATTTAGAATAACACTATAAAATATTTGTATTATTATCTCCGTAGAGGTCTTTAAAGCAGGATGAATTCTGGATGAAGGCTGTCAATGTTTTTTGCTTTTGGACTTTTGGAGTGATTTCAACAATTTTGCTTGTGCCATACATGTTACAGTAATGTAGACTGTGCTATTCGCTTACATTTTACATTATTTAACTAAATCTTTATCATTATAAAAATAAATAAATTAACAAATCAAATAAAATTTTTTTTAGATTTAAATATAATTTTTTTAAA